TAGCGGCGGCGCGGGCGCGGCTTGCTTTAGTTAGCAGGCGGCGGGCGACCACCGCTGCAGTGAACAGACTGTGGGGGTGCCCAAATGGCGGAGGTGGAGGCGGGGTGGAAGTGCCCTGATGGTCGCAGCTGCTGTAGACCGCAACGGCCGAGGTAGAGGTGCGATGATGGCCGCTGCCATGTGGCTAGCGAACGCGGCCGGCCTGGCGCCAGGACGGCCCGCGGCGAGTCAGGGCCCCCTCCCTCCCTCCCGCGAGCGCCCCGCGCCCCGCCCCAAGAGGGAGGGCGAAGAGAAGGTTAGCTGGGCGCGGTGCGGGGAGATGGGACTGCGAGGAGAAGAGCCAGGAGGTAGGGGAAGGTTGGGGGTTGGTGAGGACCTGCGGCTAATGTGCAAACGAACAATAATGATCGGTGTCGCGACCGACGTCCATGACAGGCTGCCGGTGCCACTGGTGTTCATGCTGTAGAGTACTGCCAAGGCAAGCTGTACATACGCAAGACATGTAGATTCCCATGCCACCAGATGTGCTGCTTCCGTCTTTACGGCGAGTGCGCTCATGTCGGATCGAGGATAATGTAGAGGTGGGTTTGGGTATGTAGCAGCTGGTGGTGATGTTAGCATAAAGCAAATGTATCGCGTGGGGAGTTCCACGGGTCGGGCCTGTAGAGTGGGGGGGCATCCTGGTCCGTCTCCTGCTGGTCGCCCTGGTGGATGATGCTGTAGCGTCCGTCTGAGGGCGATGTCGCGGTCGCCCCTGAATTCCACGTGTCGGGCCCGTTGAGTAGCAGAGTGTCCTTGTCCGTCTCCTGCTGGTTGACCCGGTGGATGATGCTGCGGCGCCCGTCTGAGGGCAGCGTCGTCCCCGGCTTGCTTTCGCCTGTGTTGGGAGCGCCCCATTCGGTGCACTGGTCCGTGGTCATGCTGCGGATCGCTGCAGCCGTGTTGCTGTCGCCGATGGCGTGCTGCTGCGTCTGGCGTGGTGCGTAGTGGTCAGCGGTGCCGGTCGCTGCCGCTTTGCCCGTCGGGTCCGCGGTCGCTGGAAACAGGCTGGCCTTGTTCGCCTGCTCGTCTGCAGTCAATCCTAAAGCCGATGACCGTCGGTCCAGGTGTCCGGGTTGTTGTAGCACGGTCCCGATGTCAGGGCCAGTCGGCGGCAGTAGGTCGCATGCAGTCAGTGGGTCTAGTATCGGCTGCCGATTCCGGTGATCCTGTGCCTCGTTCTCTGGCAAAGGGGCCTGGTTGGTAATGAGCTCGGCCATCTTGACCATTGTTTCGATTGCAATTCCCATCCGTAGGTCGGTGACGAGGAATGGTCTCTGGGTGCGCGTGGGATTATGTCGTATTGATACCTGATGTCCTGTAGTGAAGGTTGGGTCCAAGCGTGGGTCTTCTGGTGGATGCAGTCGAACACGTCAGCTCGGTGCATGGTCCGGCCCTGCACCAACCTTGGCATGTTGTCTTGCTGGAGCTCGGGCGCCGCTGATGGTGCGCCGTCGTGATGTCCGTGCGATGTCGCGAAAAGTCATTTTTTGTTGAACAAAGGATGTTGGAAGTTGTCTGGTGCGCGAAGGTGATCTTCGGGCCGAGGTTGAAGATCTGTAGTCGACCGCGGCGCTGCATGGTTCAATGGCGTTGCCAAGCTGCCAGTTTTGTGCTTGGTCGACTGCTGTTTGCATGACAAGCTGCTCCATGGCGGATTGCGTTGCTCTGGTGTCGGGCTATGTGGCAGTATCCGGTTTCTTTAGCCATATGTCTGCGTCGCTTGGACTGGGCAAGGAAGGGTGTCTGTGAGGATTTGCGCGTGGTCTTGTGTTGGCCTGGATGCTTTTGTCTCTGCATTGGTTTACCTCCGCGTCGTCGGTTGGCGAGATAGCCTCCCCTCCGGTGAGGCGTGCGATAGCCCCTGGTAGACGCAGCTCGGGGCTACTTGAAAGAATGCCTATGCAGGAGCATGGCCCAAGTTACGTGGGCCGCATAGTTGGCCGGCTGCTCCCAAACAATCGAGGTCACTGTCGTGGGTGGTGCTATATTGTGGTATACAATCAGGGCGTTGACCTAAGGAACCCTACATAAGGAACGAGGCTCCTTTTCTCCATGGGTTACATTTCGATTTCCCGTCGAAAACCTAAGGAAAACTGGAGGCAAGCTGTGAAACACGTAAAGAACACGGAGCCCCTCCCCAACGAAAAGGGTTCCTTCTTCAGCGACCCGACTGTACGCGGCTACGTGATTACCTGAAGTGTCGGCGATCCACGCAGACCGTGCTGCGCTTGTCTTCGAAGTGCGGGCCCAGTGGTGCGTAAAGGCCGCGTAGCTGTCCTCAAGACAGTCGGGGCGCTGACCTAAGGAACCCTAAATAAGGAACGAGGCCCCTTTTCTCCAGAAGTTGAACTTCGATTTCCCTTCGAAAACCTAAGGGAAACGTGGGGCAAACTGTGAAACAATTAAGGAACACGGAGCCCTCACCCAACGAAAAGAGTCTCTTCTTCAGGGCCCCGGCTGTAAGCCAATCGCCAGCTGTTCGCATTGTCATCCATCGGTATCATACAACTTCAGGCAACAAGACTACTGACATCCTCTTGCGCTTCATGGGATGTACATTTGCGGCCGCGCTGCGCCAAGTTCCACCCTCCTATCGCCCCAGTGAGCGTGGATCTGCAGCATGGCCGTGGTTACATCTGCATCGGTTGGGTTTGGCGAGTATATCTTACTCCGACCGCCAGCAGGCTCGTCGGTTCGCGGGCGATGTGTTACAGCATGCTCTGGTCAAAGAACACCATTCGTACGTTGGTTCGGAGCAAGAGATGTTGGATCTCAGGCAGCAGCCACGTGCTCGGTACCTGCCTGCTGTCATGCACTGTCTCTGGGTGCTCCATGATGGCGGCTATTCCAATTGCGTACGTGACGCACATCGTGAGGATTGTAATGCGTTGAAGCTGGTTGCCGATGTCGATTGGTTGCTCTCCTCTTCCTTCGAGTAACCTAGTCCCCATGGTGGATCTCGACTCCGTGGAGGTCGTGGCTTGCACTTCGCATCTGGGATGTCGCGTGTCCTTGCTGCAATCCAGGTCTCGCATGGTGGGTCTGCCACGATAACGGCCATTATTCCATTCCTCATTCGGTTGATCTAGAAGTCGGTTGTTTCTCATTTGGTCAGGTCGCCAGCCTTTTCGTCGTTGGCGATGTCGACCGAGAGGGTGCAGCTGTGAATTGCAGCCCGTGGTACGAAGTGTTCCATCCACTCCTGAAGGTCCCCTTCTCGTCGGTGGCCACTGTTAAAATGCAGGACGAAGCGGACGTGTCCTCCAATGGGTCGTGGCATTGCTGGGAATTCACCGCCCATGCCCACCCGACCGCATTATCGCCCGAAGGGTGGTCCCCTTGGCACCATGCCTTGACATCCCGCGTGCGACAGGCCGTGCGCGGGAACGGCGGCCCCCCACGACTGGAGAGCACCAGGGGAGAGAGGAGAGCAGCATGCAGATTCGGAAGGAGGGGCGGGAGGAGAGAGGGGCAGGCGGGGAGGAGGGGGAGGATGAGGAGGGGTGCTCGGAGGTGATGGGGGGGGCAGAGGGAGAGGGAAGAGAGACGGGGAGGCGGGGGAAACGGAGGAGGATGAGGAGCGGTGCGAGGAGGAGGAGGAGGAGGAGGAGGAGGAGGAGGAGGCGGAGGCGGAGGAGGAGGCGGAGGAGGAGAGGAAGGAGGAGGAGGGGGCAGATGCCCTTCTCGGCACGTCTCGGTCGAAGGCCCTTGCTAGCCCTCCGTGGCGTAGCCAATGGCGGGCGAGCCCGGCGCAGGTTGCCGTCACAGTCCGACCCCGCCAACACTGCGGCACCACACGTGGGCTTTTCTTCTCTTAACCTCAGCTGCGCGCGTCACCACGACCGGGCGGCATCGGCCCACGACAGCAAGGCACACTACGATCTACAATGAAGCCATCCATGCCATGACGCATCCGTGTCGGATCACGTGCAGCTAACACTGGGGACGTAAGGGTGCCGGGAGGAGGACGCAAACGAAGTGCACCGCCCTAGCCCATCACCCTGATCCGGACCCTGCTTTTTACAGTAACAAAGAACGGCGTTGGACCTCCCCAGAATAACAGGCCCTGTCCAGAAGCCCCCCACCTCACCCCAGTGGTCCCGTGCCGCGGCCCCGTGCAGAACGCACCTTTCCGTTTCCGGTCGGCCGAGATGGCCTGCAGGATGGCCTCCAAGCTCGCCCAAGCTTCTCGGGATGGCCTCAAGATAGCGCCAAGACCACCTCGAAGACAGCCAGAGTGATCCGAGAACGCCCCATGGCGGCCCGAAATTGCCCCCAGACAGATCTGGGAGCCCCTCATTAATATGGCCTAAGATGGCTCAAAACAAAAGGCCCCCAATGCTCGCCGAGAGGGCCCAATAGAACCCCCCTAGAGACCCCCAATGATCAAACTAATATAGCCCGCCAGTGAATGTCTAAAGTTTTGTTGTCCTCAGAACTTTCAAGGCTGCCCACGAGACCCGCAAGACGGCTCCGATGATTGAACCCAAAACCCTAAGACGGAGAAATGCGGCCCCGAGACGGCCCTGAGGCGTTCCAAGAGGACCTGCGGATCGACTCAAAACGCCACACGCGAGAGGCCCTTGACGGCCCAAGCGGGCTTCAAGAGGGCTCCAAGACGGCCCAAGGAAACGCCCACGAGGGACCCATGATGTGCCCAAGAACGCCCATGCGGGCCTCTGAGCCTGACATGTTGCGGGGAATCGGAATTTCCTGGGAACTAACCAAACCCACAAGACTCCCTGACATGTGTTGTTGACTGAGTTGAACAGCGTGGGAGTCCTCCTGGGGTCCTCTTCCATGCGCGGGGGATAGAAGGGGCCGTACTCAGTTCTGGGGGCAACTTGTTGGGGGGAAGTCGGGGGAATGCACCAGGGTGCAACGAGAGATGTGCATGAGAGATGTGTGACGCGAGTGCGCAGATCATGCACCCTCTCTCCAACCTGCCGAAGGGTAGCCTTCGTCGACCTTCTCGTGCAGTGCCGCCACTGCGTCCTGGCAGTGTCAACGATCGCAGCTGGGTGGAGACGAGAGATGCTATGAGAACTGTTGAAATGTCGCGCAGGGAAGCCGAGGTACAGAAATGTTCGCTAGGATCCTACGCACATACAGAGCTGGAATGGATGATGCAACCGGCAGCTTTGGCAACAACAATGATGTTGTGCACGTTGTGCGCACGAGTTGGCCACAGGGGCTGGGCCGGACTGGGCAGTTGGGCTGAGTAGGGCTTCGAGCAAACAAGCCGTTTCATCAACCTGAAAGCTGGGACACAACCTGCAACCATCTTGTAATTGGCCGAAGGAAGAAGCATAGCTCCTCGCAGTTCGACTTATCCTTCTTGGTCGTGTACAGGGTGACGACGGCCGCGGGTATTAAGTTCCATCCCCTCCACTCCCCCGCCTGCTAAAACGTCAACCGCACGGGATGTTCAAACTCACTTGTTCCACGTACTCGCTCGCTGCAATGCTTCGTTGCTACTTTTGGGTCGCGCACTAGTCTTGCTCTGCCACCCAACTTGTGATCCCCGTCTGGCGGACTTTGCTTATGTTCGAGCTGGGCGTTCCGGGCCCGAATGTACACAGTCTTGTACGAGAGGCGGCGTGCATGCGCATCGGTATCCGCAGCCACTGCTGGCCAACGCTACCTCGGCTGCTACCTCGGCTCGAGGGGTGGCCTGTGCGGCCAGGGGCCTTGGAACCCCGTGGTGGCCCCTTCCGATGCCCGCCGAGGTATGCCTTGCGGAGTCCCTGTGCGCAAACTTGTAATGGCCAAACATCAGGCATTGTTTGAGCGGCCCCGATCGATCGCCCCTTTCTAAGGGGCTTCGGGAAAACAATCTGAATCAAAATACTCGGATGTCAGAGAATCAGAAATTAATTTCTGATTCTGGTATCCTTCAAATCTGATTCAATTGCCGGGAAGTTACTGGGAAGTTGCCGGGCACAGAAATAAACGTCGTGGAAGTCACACGCGGGCCGCACGTTTTGCCCTTCATGGAAGTTCCCGGGGAGTTCCCGGGGAGTTGCCGGCGCAGAAATAAGGATACATGAATTTCTGAATTTCTGAAGGTGGGATTTTTGAATTCTTTTTTTTGTTTCTTTTTCAACTTAGAAGAGAGGGCCTCGGGGTGATGCGTCGGGGCCGTTCAAGGCATGGTAGGCGGAGATAGTACGTTCGGAGTCTGAGGCCAGTCAAATAACAAAGAATGTTGCACTAGTGCCTCACACCAACTGATGCTCTGAGAGCATGTGGCAAGCCTGCGGTACTATCATTTTGTTGAACATGCACTGAGCCAACTCATGATACATCGAGGTTCTGCTTCGCTACATCGAAGCTATTGAGCGTTCTCAACTGATGCACATAGAACCAAGTGGTCGTGGCTGCATCAAGTTAAGCTGACCTTCGCATATCTATCTATAAACATGCAAATGCAGACACATACGATATCGACACACCATCGTCCCCGCAGTTGCGGAAAAGAGTGAAGTGGTGGGGTGGAGTCGTTCGTCGGCAGTCTGCGATGCTCGCATTACGATTTCAAGAAGCCTGCCGCAGGCGCCGAACAACGTGGGTAGGTCGCGGGCGGGTCGCGGGTGGGTGGCGGGTGGGTCGCAGGCGGGTCGCGGGTGGTCGCGGAAGGCCGCGGGCCGGGAGAACGACAACAACAAACAAGGACACTCCGCACTGCGGCAGCCCACTTCAGCCACGCACCACGGGACAATGTAAGACCGTTTGGCCACTCCACCCCGATATCTCTATGTGTGCATTCGATCGGGCGTTGGCAGGACTGGGTTTAGCGGGACCTGGTTTCGTGATGTGTACTGGGGGACGCCCCCCCCCGCCCCGATCCACTAACCGGAACTGCCGTCACCCGAAAAATCGGCAGACCTGGTTTGGTGATTCTAGCAAATGTAGAGGCTCAGGGGCCCTACTACTAACCGGGTCCGCTTGCCCGGGGTCTTGGCTATACCCGATTCGAATGTGATTTTGTTGCGTGCTGTACCTGGCCAAACGAAACTGAGTAAAAGCAACCCGGCGGGGTGCGCAGCACCTGTGCAGCCGATTGCCCCCCGCATCTCGTTGCCGGCCTCGACGACCCGCGTTATAACGCTTCATGGCCCGAGGCATGCGCGCGGCCAGCGGGGAGGGGCCAGGGGACGCAGTGAAAGGATACGAGGGGGCCATGCGATCCACCCCCCACCCATATGAGTACCGTTTAGCCGATCCCCATCCCCAGCGGCGTGGCCTGGGCCCCACTGACCGACTTATCTCCCCAGATGGGGATATAGGTCGTTCCCTCCGGGTTTCGAGGGGTGTATCCCCAACTGGGTTGGTAATTTGGTGGGGGTCTCGAAGGGGATGGGGATGGGGATGGGGATTGGTAAAACGATATCGGCCCCAGTCCCCCCCGAAGATCTCACGCCTTGCTTCTTTCAAGGCGGGGCCCCCATCAGCCCCGACCACTTCCCCAAAGCCGTTGTATCCGGAAGCGTTTGTGTTGACGGTCCAGGGGCCTGGCGAGGGCCCCCCGGAGGCCGAACATGCATGACAACTGGAGTCTCGAGGGGTCTCAGGGTCCCGCCCCGCCTTCCACGCCCCGAGTCCTCCCCCCGGGACCCGAGGGGCTTGGTCACAACTCGGGCCTCCGGCAGCCTTTCTGGACGATCCGGGTGGACGCTCTCGACGAGCTGGTATGCCCCGAACGTGGTGGTGACAACACCCAGCGGTGAGTCTCGGGCGATTTGGGGTCACCACCCAGTTTGGGAACTCGTGTGTTTTCTCGAGGATGTCCCGAACGCTGGTGGGTCCAGAAGTCACAGAACCCGGCGGTGACCCCGTGTTCCAAAACCCCGCGGTGACTTTTTGGGGTTTCCAGGTCACCAACTGACATCTCACCACCTGGTTTGGGGGCTCCCAGGCCAGGCGCAGCTGCCGAAAAGCACTCCGACTCCTGAACATCTTCCTAGGAACCGACACGAGACGCCCGACCCCAAACCTTCTTCGACACCTTCGCCGAACCCGTGCCAGAGGAGCAGCGCCCCACTACCGACCACGCCGTCCGTCGGCGCGTGGACGTCTCCCGCTTCCCCACCGATTGGGAGGGGTCCGACGACGACGACGACGACGACGAGGAGGAGGAGGAGGAGGAGGAGGAGGAGGAGGGCGACGACAACGACGGGAACGCAACAGCCGTGGTGCTCAGGCCTGCCTAACCCGGCGGCGAGCGAGGGGGGGAAGTGAGAAGTGGCGGGCCTTCTCAGAAGGCTCGGAAGTCCCCTGGCCTTCTGAAAAGTTTTCTGTAACCTTCCCCGAAGACACAATTACGCTACCGAGGAACCCCGCATCCTTATATTATGGCTGGAATGATGATATCTGAAGTGAAGCATGTGAGAATGATGTTGGTGGCCATTCCATGCGCACCCCCTATGGTGTCGAGAAACTGTAACGCCTGTTGCGCCCTGGACGACTGGCTCGCATAGCGGCAGCGCTCAGGGACCACCCCCTGCGCAACCCCTCTGGTGTCGGGAAACAGCCACGCCTGCTATGTCCTGCGCCATGGCCCGCATAGACAACGCGCTCGGGGACCACCCCCTGCGCACCCCCCCATGGTGTCGAGAAAGCGCCACGCCTGCTATGCCCTGCGCCAGGGCCCGCATAGACGCCGCGCTCGGGGACCACCCCCTGCGCACCCCCTTTGGTGTCGAGAAAGTGCCACGCCTGCTATGACCTGCGCCAAGGCCTGCATAGACGCCGCGCTCGGGGACCACCCCTGCGCACCCCCAATGGTGTCGAAAAAGCGCCACGCCTGCTATGCCCTGCGCCATGGCCCGCATAGACGCCGCGTTCGGGGACCACCCCCTGCACACCCCCTATAGTGTCGAGAAAGTGCCACGCCCGCTATGCCCCGCGCCATAGCCCGCATAGACGCCGCGCTCGGGAACCACCCCCTGCGCACCCCCTACGCACAGCAATATGGTGCCGAGAAAAAAACAACGCCTGTTCTGCCCTGCGCCATGGCCCGCATAGACGCCGCGTTCGGGGACCACTCCCTGCACACCCCCTTCTGGTGTCGAGAAAGTGCCACGCCTGCTATGCTCTGCGCCATGGCCCGCATAGACGCCGCGCTGGGGGACCACCCCCTGCGCACCCCCTATGCTGCCGAGAAAATGCAACGCCTGCGATGCCCTGCGCCATGGCCCGCATAGACGCCGCCCTCGGGGACCACCCCCTGCGCACCCCCTATGGTGTCGAGAAAGTGCCACGCCTGCTATGCTCTGCGCCATGGCCCGCATAGAAGCCGCGCTCGGGGACCACCCCCTGCGCAACCCAATATGGTGCCGAGGAAATGCCACGCCTGCTTTGCCCTGCGTCATGACCCGCATAGACGCCGCGTTCGGGGACCACCCCCTGCGCACCCCCTATGGTGTCGAGAAAGTGCCACGCGCTATGCCCTGCGCCATGGCCCGCATAGACGCCGCGCTCGGGGACCACCCCCTGCGCACCCCTTATGGTGTCGAGAAAGTACCACCTCTGCTATGCCCTGCGCCATGGCCCGCATAGACGCCGCGCTCGAGGACAACCCCCTGCGCACCCCCTATGGTGTCGAGAAAGTGCCACGCCTGCTATGGCCTGCGCCATGGCCCCGACAGACGCCGCGCTCGGGGACCACCCCAGCGCACCCCCTATGGTGTCGAGGCAGCGCCACGCCTGCTATGCCCTGCGCCATGGCCTGCATAGACGCCGCCCTCGGGGACCACCCCCTGCGCACCCCCTATAGTGTCGAGAAACTGCCACGCCTGCTATGCCCCGCGCCATGGCCCGCACAGACGCCGCGCTCGGGGACCACCCCCTGCGCACCCCCTATGCTGCCGAGAAAATGCAACGCCTGCGATGCCCTGCGCCATGGCCCGCATAGACGCCGCCGTCGGGGACCCCCCCCCCTGCGCATCCCCTATGGTGTCGAGAAAGTACCACGCCTGCTATGCCCTGCGCCATGGCCCGCATAGACGCCGCGCTCGGGGACCACCCACTGCGCACCCCCTATGGTGTCGACAAAACCTCACGCCTGCTGTGCCCTGGACGACCGTCGTGCTGTGCTGTGCTGTGCTGAGCTGAGCGGTGCTGCGCTGAGGTGCTATGCTGTGGTGTGCAGTGCTGTGCTGAGCTGTGCTGTGCTGAGCAAAGCTGTGCTGTGCTGCGCTGTGTGAGTAGGAGAAAGAGGAGGAGGGGAGGTGAGTGGGGGTCGTGGGTGCGAGGCAGCAGGGATGAAAACCAGAACCCCACGAAACATGTGGGGAACAAACTTCCCAGAAGGCGCGAGGGCTTCTGAGAAGTCCCGCCGCCTTCTGCGAAGGCCTTCTCCTTCTCATTTCCTCGCCTCGCCCGCCGCCGACTAACGCAGAACGACGACGACCCCTCCCTGCCTCTTCACCTCCTTGTCCCCGGTCACGAACCAGGCCGCCAGCAGGGAGCCAACGGGCCCCGCGGCCCCCACGACGCCTCTGCGCCGGCGTGCCAGCGGGAGGGAGGGCGACGCGGGGTAGGGCGGGGGCGGGGAAGGGAGGAGGAGGAGGAGGAGGAGAAGGCCAATGAGCACGCTTACCCTTCTTGGTGACTTCCAGCCAGGTCAGCATTCAGAAGGTCATCGCGCTGGAGTTGATGCTGTTTTTGCACGCGCGGCTCCTCGCAGGACTCCAGGTGCAGCATGCATCAGAGCGTGAGTTGCGATCTCAAGACTCACTGACGGGGGGTGGGAGGGGGAGGAGCGGGGAGGAGGAGGAGGAGAGGAGGAAGAGGAGGTGAAGGAGGAAAAGGAGGAGAAGGAAGCGGAGGAGGAGGATCTGCCCAGGCGGGGGGGGGGGAACATCGACCCGCAACCTCCCATTCACCGTCCGTCGGTGCATGTGTGCAGGAACGCAAGGCTCTGTC